AACTAAAACAGCCGAAACAAAACTATTTTGAAAGCTTTTCAAAAGTAATCTAGTGTTTTAGAAAGAGCAAGTGCAGTGCTATGAAATGTCAAAAGTACATTGCTAGATGTTTTTGCATTTACCAGCACGAGCAAAACGAAAATGCATCATTTTTGTCAATTTTCAATGGCGGTGGGATGCCAAAATGGCGATTTTCAAACTTTCCTCGATTTTGAAAAAACTCGAGCGCTTTGGGATCTTTTAATTGTATTTTCGAAAATAACTCACTAAAGGCTTTATTTGGGCAAAATATGAAGAAAGTGAAAATTTTGAAACTGTCACCGGATTTTTGATATTTACAGACACTGGCTCTTAACACATGTCAAGGGAACAAAAAACAGACGCATAGTTGCGTATACTGCAATAAAGAAGATCACATGTGTGCTAATTGCCCCCAAGTTGTGACCATCAGAAATTGCCAAAAGATATTGACTGAAAAGCAATTATGTTTCAATTGCACAAGCAACAATCACAAAGCAGACAGCTGTAGAAGTGGCAGCTGTCACAACTGTCAACGGAAACACCACATATCAATTTGTGATCACAGTCGACCAAACAGCGGGCAATTTATGACTGCACAAAACAAGGGATTGGAGCAAGTCATTTATCCTGTAGTTGTAAATGGAGTCAAGTGCTGTGCACTGCTAGATACTGGGGTGGGCAGTTCATATACTTCGTCTGCTATCTTGGATCATCTTGGAATCCGACCAATTTGAGAGGAATTTAACGTATTGAGATGATGCTTGGGTCCACTAGCAAGGTCATTGGAGTCTATGGCGTGACCATTAGCAGTTTAAATGGGAAGTTCCGGTTGAAAACTGAAGTCACGAAAGTTGAATGTGGAATTTTGTTATCACTCGACAACCCGAAATATGGCGAGGTATTACAGGAATATACCCATCTGGAAAGAGTACATATGGATGATACAAAGGCTGAACTTCCCATCCACATTATACTTAGAGCAAGTGACTACGCAAAAATCAAGACTGAAAACAAACCAAAAATTGGACATCCTGGGGAGTCTGTAGCGAGATTAACACAATTTGGATGGACAATTATGTCACCAGGAAAAGAAGTGGACCTTTCTAACACGTTTCTAACGCAAATGGCTGCAACAGACTATGAGAAACTATGTACACTGGATGTCCTGGGATTGCCAGACAAACCAAGTGCGGATCAATCAGATGTGTATAAAGAATTCAAAGAACAATTGATTCGAAGTCCGACAGGTTGGTATGAAACAGGGTTATGCTGAAGAGGAGACCACCCTTCTTTGCCAAACAACAAGACAGGTAGTTTGAAGTGTCTTGACAGTACCATACGAAAACTGGAGAAAAAGGGAATGTTAGAGCAGTACAATCATCAAAGATCAGCTTGCAGAGAACATAGTAGAACAACTGGGAGAACATGTAGGGCGAGAGTTCTATATTGTCCACAAGCCTGTGATCAAGAAGACCGCTGAAAGTACGAAGCTTTGCATTGTCTACAATGCTTCGGCTCGAGCCCACAACAAGGCACCTTCACTGAATGACTGCCTCCATCCAGGTCCACCTTTGCAAAATCAACTCTGGGCGGTACTAGTACGAGCGCAATTTCATTCAGTTCTTACAACAGGAGACATAAAGCAAGCCTTTTTACAAGTTAGGATCTGCGAGCAAGATCGTGATGTTATGTGATTTCATTGGATAACTGATTGTGAGACGAGACGGGTGGAGACTTTGCGTTTCACCAGAGCATTGTTTGGACTTGCCCGATTACAGTTTCTGCCGGGGGGAGTGGTTCAGCAACATTTAGAAAATTGTTATGAGCAGTATCCAAAAGTTGTGGAAGAAATAGAACGGAGCCTTTACGTGGATGATTTGATCAGCAGTGGCCCAACGATACCAGCAGCTAGACAAGTCAAGGAGACTTCAAGTGACATATTCGCACAAGGTGGTTTCACTCTTCACAAATGGGATTTGAATGCCAGGGAACTAGATACAGTAAACACAGACTAGCGATGAGACCAGTGACGCACAGGAGACCTATGCTAAGCAGCAGCTAGGCGTCTCGCAGAGAGGAAAAGGAGCACTTCTAGGCGTTTCCTGGGACATGGTGGCGGACACCATTCAAGTCAAGTTTTCCCCTGAACACGCCCAACCCACAATGAGAGGCCTGTTGGCTAAAGTGGTTAAGATTTATGATCCACTGGGTCTGGTTTCACCTATAACACTTTGTGGAAAATTATTATATCGCGAGACCTGTGATCTAAAGATAGCGTGGCACAAAGAAATTCCAGAACAGCTGTCCAGGAAGCAGACACAGTGGAAAGAAGAGTTGCCTTCAGGGGTCAGCATCACTAGAGCTCTGTCTCTGCACAGGGAGCCCATCAATAATATTGACCTTCATTGCTTTGGGGATGTTGTTGGTAAGGGAGTCTGTGCAGCTCTGTATGCAGTGATAACACAGACCTCTGGTTCTGGTGTGCGACTTGTGATTGCAAGAGGACGGCTAGTGAAGATGGCCTCAGCATACCGCGTTCAGAATTGGTCTCAGGACACATGGCTTTCAATTTGATTACAAATGCAAGAGATACACTGAAAGGATTCCCGATTGGTGAGCTTCACTGTTGGCTTGATAGCACCGTAGCCTTACACTGGATAAAGGCAGCGGGTGAATACAAGTAATTGTTGGAAATTGTGTCAGAACAATTCATTGTCTGCTGCTGAAACATTTAACAACTACTTCTGTGAGGTGGCTAGGAGTGACGGAGACTGTAGGGAAATGGTTGAGTTTGTTAAAGTCGCCGCTGAGAAAACTCGAGATAATTGTTTTAACCTTGCCCCAGTTGATGTCAGCTACATAAGGAAAATTTTGGGTACTCTAGACCCTCGCAAGGCTACTGCTACGTTTATCCTCACCTGTTATTGCTGCACCGATTACCCGTTTGATCAATTACTTCATTACTAATCGACAATGGCCGATAGTTAGGAGGTTCCAGTATTCAAGAAGGATAGTGCGGCGGATAAGACCTGCTATCGACCAGTTTCTGTTCTGACTGCATTGTCGAAATTATATGAGAAGGCGTTCAATCAAATTTATCAAGAATTTTACTGGAGGCTCTCACCGAATCTGTCAGGCTTTCTCAAGGGTCATTCGTGTTGTACAGCGCTATTGAAATTGACTGAAGATTGGAGAGCCTGTATAGACGAAGACAAGCCGTTGCAGCAATGTCTATCGACCTAGTAAAGCATTTGACTCTGCTGCCCACCCACTTCTGCTAGCTTAATTGAAGGCATATGGTTTTACGTGTGATGCGGTGGGAATTATGACCACTTATCTTATTGGACGGGGACAGAGAGCTAAACTAAAGATGGTGTACATTCTACGTGGAGAACCATAAAAACTGGTGCACCACAGGAGTCCCTGTTAGGTCCACTCTTGTTTCATATGTATGTTAATGATCTTGATTATTTTATTACTAATGTCTTTGAGGCTGTTTGCTGACGACACCACTCAAGACGCCTCTGATATCTCACCAATTCTCCGTTTCGAAGTTCAAAATAGTCCTGGTAACGAATTAGGCTTGCATAGCATATTGGGGCTGTTTTGGGGGACGCAGGCGATTTGATCTGATAAACAAATTATGGTGGCCCTATCACATCCGTCGATAAAATTAAACGAAGATGATATTCCAGGGGCAAAATTGTAAAAACCCACAGTCTGTGGACCCTTCTTTGGATTAAAATAAATGTAATTCTGTATGGTGCTTAATTCCTATAAGTATGGCTATCAAGTTCAGTGGAAATGCAAGCGATAGGTGACAACCATAAATAATAAATTAGCTAATCTAGGTATATATGGTTAAAAAGAGAAGATATTGTTACCTTCTGTTCTTCTGAGTTTCTCTACCACTCTACTCACTGGGCTTTTATTAGGCTGTGTTTTCGATAAAAATGGTTTGGAAGCTTTAGGATTCTTCCAGAAGAGGTTGTTCTAACACAAGGATCTCATTCCTCTTCAAGTTCTTCTTCATCCACATCAGTCATGTCCCTTTCTTCAACCCCCCTTGTACGCTCGAGACATTCTTCGTAGAGCTCTTGGTTTAAATCAATATGAAAATCTTCGTCTGTGAACTGCACTTCCCAAATGGTTCTAATCACATGATGTTATTCTACCTGAGCAGTGAACTTGTAACTGAATATTAGACAATCTTCGAGATTGCTTGCGCACAGGTGTGTTTTTACTTTAGACGAAGTTCTCTTAAGGTTTTGTGCAAGCTTTCCACTGATCTCTTTGAACTTAGCGATGAGTATCACATCATCTTTTTAAAACATTTTCTGTCTTATTTTAATGAAAAGGATTTCCATATGGATTGCTGCAAGTGGAAAATATAAGAAATGCTCGCTGCTCACGAGTTGTACTCTTTAAACTACTCGCTGCTTGGAAAGCAAATTTTTTATTTCTGCTCGTGCTTGCGAAACATCGCAGTGCTTGCATGCTCGCGAATGCTCGCAAAGACCATTTGTCACCAATATTATAGTTTTAGTTTTGATGCAGTAGCTTGACGATCTTTGTTAACAGTGCCAAGAAATGAAAACTGACAAGCTGTTACTTCTTTGTTTAACTTTTAGAGTGGATGATTATATAAAAATGGGCTTGATAAAAATTAAGTGGACCCAGATAGGGGAGCAAATTTAGAAAAGAAAACAATAAACTCAAGAGCCGCTGATGAAGTTGATCCCGAAATCCAAACTGACTTTCCTTCTGACAGATTCGAGTGTGGTATTTCAGTGCTTCCAAGAATATCATTCAGCCAGATTTAGAAGTATTTAATTGAAGACGTCAAAATTAGGAACAAGCTGGCCACCAAAAAGCCAATTTCAAAAGGATACAACTTTTATAAATGTGGCCACGTTCCACAGATGTTTACAAAAAAGGATGAAAATAATTTATTCATTAAAAGCATTGTTCTTGCGTTGATGAAGAAGGGAAAAGTGTATACTGTCAAAGTTATAACAAATCTAAGAGGACACATTTCCAAGGCTGTTTGTGGCTACCCGGCTGCAGTGGATGGCCGATGTAACCATCTTCCTGTGACTCATAAAAAAACATAAACAGATAAACAGAACAATGAAGTTTTCACAAGTGCTGCAAACACTGCTGGTCCTGTGAGTCACCAAGAAACTTATGTCCCATGCACCTCAAAGCCATGCCAATGGAATTTACCGGAAAAAAAGGAAACTAAATGCAGAAACCATACAGTCTTTGAAGTTTCAAAAACACGAATATGGTAAGGAGAAGAAACGATCTGCAAGACATCAGAAAGATGCCAGAGCTCCTCGAGTGAACAATCTCCGATCCTGAGCTCAAGAGCTTTTATGATGAGGTCAAACTAGTTGAGAAGAAAACGGGAAAAAGATTGGTCTTAGCTTACCTCATGGTCCCCCACAGAATAATGACCCAGAACCGGCAGCACAGGATCCTCGCGATTCAGAACTGAATTGGAGGCTAGTTTCAACTGAAAGGGTCCATCCAATGTCACTAGACAAAATATCCCTTTATAAGGCAGAACGTGTAAAGAAACGTTTATTTGATTCGGTGAGTGAACGAGTTGAAATTGAAAGAGCAACAACAGATCAGCACACTTCTATTTTATAGTACAATGTTCACCAACCATGAATAACAGCTTCACAGACAATGTTAACGTGCAACCGCCATGAACTTTCGTGTGCAACTTGAAGGAGTTACATCACAGTAATCCTGGTGTCCAAGTAAGGCCTTTTTCTTACCAGTTCAGTCTTCTTATTCCAAAGAAGATATAGACCTAAATTACATAAGCTATTTTGTAACTAAAAAATGTGCAGCATTGCGTTAGTTAACCATTTCATTATGGGCTAAGCCAAAATAAATAAATAAATAAATGTGATGAAGGTGATATATAAATAATTAATTAAATGAAAATGACAATGAGATATGACGGGCTTTTACAGCCATAATACCCCGCCCACAAACATCCCTATCTGATTTTACAAACAAACAAAAGGATGCCCGTTGCACGAGGGCAATGACCTTCTACAGTTAACTAAGCCGACAGATCTGGCCCACAGTGGGCAGTTTAAGGGAAAGACATGGTTGCCATATACCAGAATAGCCCAGTATATGGATTTAATATTCAGTTTTCATCCACCGTTAACTGTTATTTTCTTCTGCGTTATCAATGTGCGCTTTGTCTGGTTAATTTTTTTGAAGTTGTCTCCGGACCAAGTTGGCTTTCCCTTTTCGTGGCTCTCTTTCCAGCTCTGTTCACTGAGCCCCTGATGAGAATGACAGACCTTCTGAGAAGACTAAAATTTTTAAATTAACATCTAGTGAGCTCACTAGAATTTAATAACAGTGTAACATAGCTATTTATCAATTTAGTTCTCGTACCGTAGCTAAATGAGTATTTACCACTTGCTTAATGCTACGCATTCTTATTAAAACATGACTAACATATTTGTGGCTATTTTTCCCGCAGCTACATATAGTTTATGCTCAATAAACTAATGTGTGGTCATTGAAGTACTGGTGTGGTTATTGATCTGTTGTGTACTTATTGACCTGCTGTGTGGTTATTGAACTAACAAAAAGGAAAACTTAATCGCCTGTAAAGATAACCGGCATTTAAGTTTTACACTATCTACATCGCCCACTCTTCCTACCATAAAATAAAAACCAGAATTCAAATGCCTATCATATTCCTGTTTATACCAAGAGGAATTGTTAAGAGACCAGCCCAGGTTTTTGTCACTTTCTCTTAGAATATAAGCATTATACTCAAATCCCTTAACAGTTTTAATCCTCTTTGGTTACTAGTCATTCCCCTAACCATAGCAGCAGATAGAGATCTACCTCTAGCATGATTTACAGAGTAAAATTATCTAATTTTAAAACCTTGGTTATAAACCTTCTCTCCAAATAACCTATTCTAGGATGAAAAAAGTAATGAAAAATTTCTTCCTAACATTTCGCCCCTGCCGTCCCCCTTTCACCCTAACCTTCACCTTAACACCAGCCAAATATTAAACATAACTCAGTACAGCCAGTTCAGTCTATTTTTTAACTGCATGCTGCTTCTTTATGCCATCTGATGTAGGTTTTCCTTTCATAACAAAACCACCCCCATAGTTCAAAATCTGCCGTTCCTCTTTGGATACATTGCGTCCAGTGACGTTATGTAAATTCACTCTATCGTGTTGCCTTCCTCTTTCAAATAAAATGTCCTCACCATTTAGTCTATCCTTGTACATAAAAGACGTCAAATCACTTTGTGATAGGGCATCCCTCTCCTTTACAAAATACAAAACACAACGTAAGGTGTTTTTCAGTTCTCTCACTATCACAAGGCCTGCTCTCACGTCTTTTCTCCTTTGTTTTCGTAAAATAATCTCGTCCTCTCCTGTTTCTCCACTGTGTTATTTCAGAAGTAGTTAACTTCGTTCTACTCTCTACTATATCATCAACATTTCTCTTTATGGCTGCTAACTCCAGTCCTATACCTTTCTCTTTCTCCTCCAGAACCAGCCTTCCTTTTTCATCCTTACATGTCACTACACCGCAAACAGCTGTGTATTCCACATCTGCTTCCCTTCTTAAGTTGTATATTTCAAACTTTAACCGTGCCAACATGGTGTACAGTCTATCAATTCTTTGCAAATCACATCTTATACCAGAAGAGATATAGCGAGATTACAAAACCTTTGCATACCAAATCTCTAATTCCTTAGACATTGTTCAATTTAGCAACTTCACAAAACAGACATTCTCGCAGAGGGTTAAAAGAAGAAGAGTTAAAGCAAAAAGAAAGGAAAAAAGGAATTGGGGAAAGAGCGAAAGAAGAAAATTTAAAACTAAAGGCAAAAGAAATCAAAAACACCACAATGGTGCCAAACGGGTGGCTCGCCAGCTCCAACTTATGGCCAGGCAGCTGGACCGCTTGGCTAACCGCATTATTTTAGAAATACAAAATGAATAATTTAAGACATCCAAGGATAAGTTAATTTATTGCAAAATTAATTGTCTTAACTTCATTAGAGCAACGAAAAATTATTTTCAATGTAAAGATCCATATGTTTTGTCTGTAAGATATATTTTGCACATCTTATAATACCAAAATGTCCTATTTTCAAAAAAGAGAACAGGGCAAAGTGAGATATATGTCGCCCTTCTTTTTTGGGGGAGGCAGCTGAATAAAATCAATAAATAGTCTTATTAAAGGTTCTTACAACCCATTTCCCCCAAAATCTCCTAATTTAAAAGTTAACAAATATTTCCACCCTGTCCCCTATCCCTAAAACAGGATTGTGACATCCGGACGATTAAAAAATATAATAAACTCCATACAACCGAGCAAACAATCAAATTAGCTCCATGCAGCCATACACACAATCTAAAATTGGTTTCTAATCCTGCCATAACAATGACAAGGCTATGTTGTGACTGCTATAATAAACCACCATATAGTCTTGCAGCAATGGAAGTTGTACTAATCTACACCTGTTGGTCGTTACCACGTGCCTACTGGGTAAATACCACAAAACTACACAAGCAGGATGTCAGGGCAATTCAAGCAAGCCCGTCGTAAAATGATGAACTGAACTGTGCATTGACACTTAGTTATTGTTGTTGTTATTGTTAATAATACAAGCTTATACATAAGCCCTTGAAGACCCTTTCCCCACCTTAGCACATGCGGGATCCAAATAAAGATACATTAATGCGTATGACATTTTCTGAACTCTTGTAGTCATTACTGCACATTAGTGTCCTTTACGAACTACGTTATCTTTATTGAACTATGTTGTCTTTATAGGATTTAAAAAAAATTTAAGTTAATTATTATTATCATTATTGTTATTAGTAACACAGGCTTTTACATACACCCATTAAGATCCCCTTCCCCTGCCTTTGCACATACAGGATCCAAGTAAAGATACATTTATGTGTGTGACATTTTCTGAACTCTTGCAGTTGTTAATGAACTTAAGTGTCCTTTATGAACTATGTTGTCTTTATTGAACTAGAAAAATAAGAAAAAATGGGAGACTGATCAAGAACATGTACATTCCTCTCTCTAATGTTCCAAGTAATACACAACTGTCAAGAACAATGTATAACATGATGTCTCCTGTTTGACTTTTTCAAAGCTTAAAGCTGAATTATGCCGCATCTTTGGTGAAAACAACATCTCCACAAAAGTACGAGAAAAGTACCAGATGTGGCCGCAGCGTATCTTAAGGTAGCAAGTACAAGGCCCTCCTTAACTTCATCAGGGAGATGGAAGCCGCTTTTGAGGACAATGAATATGACAGAGAAGGTAAATTTTAGGTTTTTTCATCAATTACCACAAGGTGATAAACAAAATTTCAAATAAAATTATTGTGCATTTACTCCACCAGGCCAATTACAGTTACAGATTTTCATTAATTAAAACACACCAAGATTATCTAAATGATACACATTTGATTACATGATTACCGTATTTATTTTAGTAAGTGTCCTGGGGCACGTTTCTTGAAAGGCCCCGGAAACTTTTCAGGCCCGATGGCAAATTTCAAAATTTAAACCTGTTGAATAGGAGCACAGTTCATAAGCCATGAACAAGTCATGTCCTTTGTTACCTGATAGTTTTATTGTATTACTTTCAAAGTTACTGAAACTTTGATCTTGAATGAAAAATCAACAAACACAAAACAGCTTTCCAGGCCTAAAAAGTTACCAGAACTGTCAAGACACAGACCGCTTGGTGCTTATTTAAAAATCTTCCTTGAGAGAGGGCAGTTATTTGTGGTGGGCACAATTTTCACTATTTGCAGCAAAAAGTTACAAATGTAGTTTATTTTGTGGAAAAACAATGAATTAATTAAATAAATAAATTTGTCAAACAATGAATCTAGAGATTGAAAGCCGGTGAAGAAATAATATTTGATACTCCTCTTGTGTAATTCAGTATTTTTTAATTTGTCCGGTGGGAGGGGGTGTGCACTTATTAATTTTTCTACCAGGTGTGTTTTACTAACAATTTTTTTTCTTTATTTAAATGTCACAAATGAAAAGCCGGGCATCCTTCTTGATGATTAACAAGGTTCTGCGAAATCGTGGCAGTAGGAGGAAAGGAACCCAGGAGGAAGTTGTCAGTATCATAGAGGTAGGAAACTTGGAAATAAAGTTCTCAAACTTATTAATTATTCATAAAGAGAAAATCACAAGCTTAACAGTGAGTGGTTTGGATATTGGATACTAGTTACCAAGACAT